CCAAGGTCATTAAAGAAAAACAGACAAACAAACAAAAAAACACCTTTAGAGGCAATTGAGAGGTTCTTCCCTCTAGTCCATTGTAGGGAACACATTCCAAAACTCTCTGCCTCTATTCAATGGAATTGCCTTCAATTTGACAGGTAGCCTGGGTGTAAGGCCTAGAGCTTCTATTAGTAGAGTTATGCCAGAAAGTGAAATATAGGAAATGTTAAAAGATGGAGGAGGGAAAATAAGAACTGAATGAGACACTGCTATCCAAACAGTTAAGCAAAGTGGAAGTGGTGGGCAAGTGGGAGTAGAGAATGAGAAAAGATAGGGAGAACAGAAAGAAGAGAAAAAAAGGGGAGACAGAAGACAATGAAAGTCAGTAATAAAGAAGAGATAGCATCAGAATGTATCTTCATCCAACCAGCTTGATGAAGAGTTGGTGGGTGAAGAGGTGCATTTGAAAGGGGGTGGGGGAGGGGGAAGAAGAAGAAAAAGATACACAATATTAGGGGTTGGGGATGAGAAAAGAAAAAATGACTAAGAGAAAATGGCAGAGGATAGTTCCATTCAGCCAAATAAAGAGAAAGAAATTGGGGGAGAGGGGGCAGGAGAACAGCAGAGAATGGAGGAGAAATGAGAAAAGAGGTGCATAGAAAAACAGACTGAATAGGGAGAGAAAAAGAGGAGCAGAAGTGGTAATAAGAAAAAGGGTAAAAGTCTAGTTTCAGAGCTCTGGGAGAGCCTGTACTCCACTCTATTCCCACTATCCACTCTGTTATGGAAAATTCCAGGATGTACAACCCAAAATGGGAGTTTTTGATCATCTTGGAGGTCATTTTAACTCCTAAGCCCATTTCAATTAAATTCTACAAATTGTTATCACTACCTCTCACTGACAGACACTAAGAAGAAGGTGCACGGAGATAGTCTAGAAAGCTTATATCTTGGGAGGAGACTACCACTTGACCTCCAAGAAGTTACACCAGCCATGCTCATTACATGCTAAGCTCAATGATCTAGGTCGGAGCGAGAGGCAGTTTCCATTCTAAGCCATCAAAAGAGGCTGGAGAGAGCCAAAACCGGTTTGGCTCAGTGGATAGAGCATCGGCCTGCAGACTGAAAGGTCCCAGGTTCAATTCCAGTCAAGGGCATATAATTTGGTTGAGGGCACATCCCTGGTAGGGGGTGTGCAGGAGGCAGCTGGTAGATGTTTCTCTCTCATTGATGTTTCTAGCTCTCTATTCCCTCTCCCTTCCTCTCTGTAAAAAAACCAATAAAATATATTAAAAAGAAAAAAGGCTGGAGAGATATCCAGAAGAACTAGATATCTAGAAGATGACAATAGAGCCCAGCTCTGAGGGCCTAAGGCTTAAATGTTCCAGGTGGGCTGAAACCGGTTTGGCTCAGTGGATAGAGCATTGGCCTGTGGACTGACAGGTCCCAGGTTCGATTCCAGTCAAGGGCATGTACCTTGGTTGCGGGCACATCTCCAGTAGGGGGTGTGCAGGAGGCAGCTGATCAATGTTTCTCTCTCATTGATGTTTCTAACTCTCTATCCCTCTCTCTTCCTCTCCGTAAAAAAAAAAAAATCAATTTTATATATATATATATATATATATATATATATATATATATATATATATATATTTTTTTTTTTATTTTTTATTTTTTTTTTATTTTTTTTTAATGTTCCAGGTGAAAGCTCGAGCTCATGAAGAACCTCGGGTTCTGTAGGGAGTGAGGTAAAATGAAGTCTCACTAAAGCCATCACTAAGTCTCAGTAAGTCTTTAAATGATTAGTCTTCTGCCAGGCTGGTATGTCTCAGTGGATGTGTCGACCCATGAACTAGGAGATCATGGTTCAATTCCTAGTCAGGGCACATGCTCAGGTTATGGGCTCAATCCCCAGTATGGGGCATGCAGGATCTCTCTTATCATTGATCTCTCTCTCTCTCTCTCTCTCTCTCTCTCTCTCTTCCTCTCTCTGAAATTAAAAAAAAGAAAAAAGATTGTTCTTCAGACTAATACTTGTCACCAAATGGACCACTACCAGTTTTGATAGATTACCAAGGTCCAATGGGGGAATACCCCAAGGATACAGCCTAAGCCTGCACAAGAGTTTCACTCACCAGATCGCTGACAAGTGGCAGTGGCTTTTTTCTGCGTAGATCTGGCATGCTGTCGATGCCATAGAGCCCGCCTGCTGGCCTGAGGAGGGAAGAAAGTATGTCAGAACCTTTAGTCCTGTCCATTTTCCTTGCTCATCTTTTCCCCAGAGGAAGATGTGCTTTCGAGCCAGGTAAGGAAGACAGGAAGTAAGGGAAATAAAGCCATGAGATGATGGGCAATGGAATCTGCTCTCAGAGTGCCCCTACCTGTCTCCTTCTATGGTTTTAGCCAAGGACCTAGAGCTCTTTTATCCCATAGTGACAGGCAACTCTGTTTACCTGAAAGACCTTATGCTCCATACGGCAAGGTGGGAACTGATGGGTAAGAAGGTCTGAGACAATGTTCCCCAAAGATAAGCCTTTCTTGGCCTGTGCAAGAACAGAGCCCATAGGAATAACTCTACAGAAGAGCTGCTGCAAAGGTGAGCAAGACTGCCAAATAGTGACATGTACAAGGGGAAGGGGTGAGGAGACTTCTAAAAAACCATTTAAGAAGGAAACAGCAAAAGAACTCTAAGTGTCTGGTCTAGCCCTACGGACACATCAATAGGGACCAAGAAAAAATTATAATTGAAAATTTCTAAAATTTTAATACTTTTTCTATGTTTATTAATTTTATTGTTCTTTGTCTGTTCTTCCATAACAATATCCAATAAAAACATAGAGAATGTCCCCCAAAGAACACCATTTTCACATTGTGACAACCCAGATTTTATCCCATACTCTTCTACTAACTCTCTACATGTCCTCTGCCAAAATCCCTTCCTCTTTGGGGTCTTGGTGTCACTTCTATAAAATGAGGGGGATGAACTACAATATTTCACTGACCTTTTGGAAGCTGCCATTCTTAGTTTCAATGAAAAGAACTCACGCACTTGGTTCTAATGAGTAATGAGGTGGGAAGTGTGGGGTGGCTGGGTTGTACACCACAGCTGGTCTGAAAAGCGGTATATCTCAGAAGAATAAGAAGGTACTGCCAGCAATATAGGCCAAAAAATAAAAAAATTTTAAAAATGGAGCCACAATTTGGGTCAAGGCCAGGAGTTGGAACAGGCAATGTGATATGTTGATTTCTAATAAAGTCGCTTCCTGAGTACAGGAAGTGAACTTTGTTTTCAATGAGAATACCAGACCTAGGGAAGTCCTAAACTTGTGGCAGCTTCCAAGGAGCTGAAGGGAGGAAAGACGACAATAGGGAGGCATTTAGAAAATCACTGCATGGCTCCCTTTAAAAATAGCTCAGATATGTTCTATCGGCATGCATGTGTTTTACAATTATTAGAGGGGGGGAAAGCTAAAGCCCTGAAGAAGGGCTGTTGAAGAAACAACTAGTGCCACAAGTTAATTCTAAAAACTATAATACATACCACTTAAGATATGAAGTTTTTTGCAACATAGATGAGCTTTTGACAAAAGAAGGGTGGTTCATTCACATTATTAACTTGCTATTTAAAAGAAAAATCACAAAGAAAAGGAGCACGTAGAAATGTAATAGACAACATTATGACCTGATCTTTTTTCTCCCCTGGTCTTGAGGGAGAGGAGGCAGCCACTGAGAATTCTAATGTCGGAAGGTCTTTGTGGGAGAGAAGAAAGATTCTGACAAATAATTAATTGGCAGTACATGTAGGGAAGTGGAGGTAGAGAAGCACTTCAATTATTTTCTCTCTTAAGAATAAGCAGCAGTTGAGCAATTTAAAATGACTCTGCTGCAATCACATGGGTCTGAAACTCCCAGATAAGAAGCACAGACAGAACACACGGAGCTCATAAGGGATGCTACTTATGTCTTGACTAGAGAGAAATGGAACAAGTAGGTGACTCACAACAGCTAAAGCAGGACAGAGCTCAGGGAGAAATCTAATCAGCTACTGCTATCTTCCCCCCCCCCCCCATGGAAAAGCATTATTCTCTTTAATTAACTTATGCTTTCATAGATAGCAGCCACCCCCTGAATTCTGGGTTTGACAGCTCAATGCACCTTTTTTTTTTTTTAATTTCTTTATTGATTAAGTATCACATATTTGTCCTCAACCCTCCATTCCAATCCCCCACACCCCCTACTGTCCCTGACCACTGGTTAGGCTCATATGTGTGCACACAAGTAGCTACTGTTATCTTCTACCTAGAGTAATCACCCCTATGCAACGGATCAGAAATTCTACAGGTAAGAACGGGGGAGCCCTGCTCCAGGGAACCACTGGCAAAGCTCTCTCTTCTGCCTCTAAGTTATCAGTTTGCGAGTTCTCTCCTCTGACCCAGAGAACCAATCAGTCCCTACAGTGGAACATCTTCCTTCCCCAGGATCAAGCATATGAAGTTGTTTCTCCTTCTTCCCAGGGGAAAAGTTAAAAGCCGCATGGGAGTCTGTACAAGATCCACAGAAAACTTGCAAGAATCACTTACCCTTCTGGGAGCCACTGGGGCAAAGAGGAGTCGCCATCATCTGGAATCTTTAGAAACAGATAGAAAAAAGTTAGATGCTCGGACAGAAGGGAGACGGCCATCTTTCTCTGGTAAGGCAGTGAGCAGTAAAGGAGGAAGCTCAGAGGAGTGTAGGTCACATACACCATGTGGTGACATAGCTAGCCTGATGTCTAAGCCAATGCCCTGATGAGCCAAAGGCAACGAGCAGCACTTCATCTTCCCTCTCCCAAATTAACAGGAAGGATACAAGGCCAAGCTCGCTGAAATCCCTGGGCTAAAGTCTACTGGAACTGTGAGAGCTGCCAGAATTTATATTCCCCCTTCCCCCAACACACACACACACACACACACACACACACACACACACACACACCATTAGCATATGTAACAGTAACCAAGGCTGGAAAAAGGATCCATCTAGGCTTCCAGGCCTCACTGAGGCAAAAAGACAACTTCATATAGAATCTGGTCTTCTTCCAGTTATATCCCTAAATTCCTTTGGCTGCCACAGTCAGACCTGGTCTTTCTAAATTCCTCTCATCTTGTGATTTGACTTGGCTTAGCTTCCTTGAAGCCCAAACTCATTGACACTGAGTTCACTCAACATCTGATAAGTTCTATATTACCAGAGAATCCAAGACAGGTTAGACACTTGGATGATCACTCTGGTAAATTTTATGAGCTCTCTAATGAGAAGTTGAACATTGAGGCACCAAATAATTCAAGGGAGAAACAGGTCAAAACAATTTTTAAAGGTTTCTGAACCAGAATACCCAAAGCAAATCCTTCAGGCAGTGTACAGAGTTGCAAAGCTGCCAGGGCTCTCCTGGGAACCAATGGCAAATACTGTTCAGGCTCAAGGGACCCAGTGCGAGCAAGTCTGGAGCTTCCTGCCTTACCTTGTTCCCCTCCACCAACTTCCTGCCATCTGAGACTTGGGCTCTCACTAACTATCCCGGAGCAAATGAGCTCCAGTACAAGGGAGGAAATATAGGTTACTCTGGACAGGGGGTGAAGTTTTGGGAGAGCTAAAGATGGGGGAAGTTATAGACTGAATGAGGTAAGACTGAGTAGAAAAGGGAGAAGTATAACAGGTTAATGGATGAGATGAAAGCTGGCAAGAACTACCTTAGGTCAGCTCCAAATGAACTTTGGATTTAGGACTCTTCTCAGTAAAACCCTTTCTCAGGTTGTCTGTGCCCTAATCAAGTCTATCTATCTCCTGCCCTGGCCTGTGGGTAGGATACTGGTAAAGAACCAGCCAGACCCAAAAGGCAGCCAGAAGTGGCTGAAGCAAGCCCCCTAAGGTTGTTTTGTGAATGGTGGCCATCCCTAAGTCCCCAGGTCCTACCAACCAGAACTTCTATTCCCTTTGAGAACAATTGTTGTACTGAGCAGATTTTTATGTCCTATCTAGAATCAAATGCTTGCCAGAAAGCACTGGGCTTAAGGAAACACAGTCACAAAAAGTCTTTGAGAGCCAGGGTTCACTAGCTCAGATCATACACACTTCCTGTGCTTAGAGATACAGCAGGTCTACAGAAGCCTGCAGACACAGCAAACAGCATGCACACGCAGGGCACTGAAGGAGGGCCAGAGGAGTGAAAGGAGATCTAGACAAAGTACCTACAGGAGGTACATTCACAGACATAACTTGTGCCCGAGGGAAACACAAGGTGAGCATGGATCCTGCTCTGTAGAGGGCTACAGAACGTGTGCACCCACCCATTTGGGGAGGATTCAGTTTTCACTAGGGCCCAAATCACAGACAAAGCAAACCCTACAGTCTTCAAGAACCAGAGCTTGCAGGCACAGAGCATTAGTATAGTATGCATTCACATGGCATAAGGGAACCACATCACAGGTCTATGGAAGCTTATGCTCACAAGAGGCCAGGAAGTCTGTTCAGAAGCACATTCACATTTAGGGCCACAGGCAAGAGGAACAAAATGCCTGCAGCAACACCTGTGCTCAAATACAGAGTGTATGCATGCTGGGCTCAGAGAGGGTTCACAGCATATGCCAGGCACAGCAACAAGTAGAAAATGGACACACAAAGTAGGAGAGGAGGAGGGCAATCAGTGCCTGGGGGAATCAAACCGAGTACAAATATAAGCGCACACATGCCACATTGAATGTGCACCATGCTGGCACACAGATTCTCACACCGGGCTCCAAGGATGTCTGCAGGAGCACACACAAGCATGGAGCATGCACACACACTGCTTTTAGGAAAAGCACACATACTGTTTTTAGGAAAAACAGACTATCTGCCCAGCCAAAGCTCAGAGGCACAGATCATGTGCACTCGGCGCACGCACACAAACACCCCGTGCCAGGAGAGGGGGGTAGAGAATAGACAACAAAAAGGCCCCAAAAGGCCAGACACACAACCTGAAGGGATCCTCGCTTTCCTTCTGCAAGGAGAGAAAGAGCAGAAAAAAAGGGCAGAGAGGTTAGTAGATTCAGTCCTATAGCAGGGAACCCAAAGAAAATGCAAATCTCAAGGGACCTGGAGGAGAGGGAGAGGTGCTCTGAACTGGGCAGTTCCCAAAGCCCAGCTCCCACAATCTTATATTGCTGGCCCCTGCTTCTGTACTGTGGGACATGCCAGGTTTGGCTACTCAGACCAAAGGACGAGGTCTGCCTGGGGATTCCAGTCACTTTTTGGCCTTTCCAAAGTAGCCTGCATGCAGGATCAGGGCCAGCAGGGCCACCAGATCAGATGTTACCAAGGGCCACTCCATCAGGCCATCTGAGCTGGCTGAGCACAGACTGAGCTTGTTCCTTCCTCAGAAAGTATACGAGCTCACTCTGGATCTGGCTAAGTCCTCAAATCCCAAAGGCCTGGTGGTTGAGCCCTTTCCATTTTAAAGCAGAATTGGCCATGTATTTTCCCAGTAAGCCCTAGCCTGTTTTCTCAGAATCTAAGGTAAGCTGGGCCATGTTAAGACCTGGAGTTAAGGCCAGAACCAGGATACGAACTGGGGTTATCAACTGACCACTTCCCTAACAGAAGTCACCATGATCTGGATGATAAAACTATGACTTCAATCTCAGGTATGATTATTTATCTAACATAGAACAATATCTCAAAGGAGATGAATGCTTCCAGAAGGATTAAAGTAAGCCACAATAGAGAAAGTATAAAGCTCAGAGGTAATTTCCTACATTGGCTTCAAGGCCACACATAGATGGGCCACACATAGCCTTTCTTCTCTACAGAAAGTCCAATGAAATGGGTGATATGAAAAAGACACTTCCTGGACTGGGGGCGGGGGAACATGTCTCCTCTACATCTATTCCCTACCTCTAGGAAAGCACTCTGTTACTCTGCTCTCTTTGTTTTTTTGTGTGTGGTGGTATTTTTTTCTTAGCACTCTGTTCCCTTTTGAAAAGACAATTAGTCAAGGAACACTTTAATTGACCATGTGACTCAAATTGGAAAGGTTTCTGTCCTCCTCCACTATCTTAAATACCTTTTACCATGTCAAAGTTACTTTGTGGCCTTCTGTTTTTCCCAGAGTTTCCCATTATGCCTAAAGAATAAAATCCAGTCTGCTGACAAGGCCATCAAGGCCCCCCCTGTTCTGCCCTCTCACATCTACTGGGTAGGCGCAGACTTAATTCTTAAGACTTAGCTCAAATGTTAAATACCTCTGTAAACGTTTCTTTATCTGCCTTTCCATCACATGCCCTTGGTACCCACACTTTTAAATGCACACTTCTATAGCTGTATGTTGCCAGTACTGCTTCATTGTAATTGTCTGTATAAATGTCTCCCTTTATACAATACATTGTTAATTTTTTGTAATCCTAGGGATTAGAATATATCCTAGCATTCGTATGTAAAGAAACCCAAACTTTCAGAACTTAGAAAGCAACACCTTTTCTAAGAAAATTTCTCTTGCCATCCCCAAAGAAAAAATAGATTTCTTTGCTAGTAGTCTGTGCCATTTTCTAGAAGCCAAAGAACTATTCTACCTGCTCTTCAGTTTGTCCCATCCAAATATAAACAAACACCTTTTCTTGTTAAGAACTAAAACTTAAAAAAAAAAAAAAGAACTGAAACTTTTTGTGCTTCCTAACTTCCTTAAATGCCTTAGGATTTTTCCACTAATATTTAGTTTTTAGTTTAAATGATATGTATCTAAGGAACATCTACTTTGTAGGAGAATCCCTGGCCCCTAAGAATGGTCTCACTCTTCCAGACAGTCCACTCCAAACTTCCTCATAGTTAAAACAATCTTAACTTCCTTGTACTTGGAAGTCAAAAGACTTGAGGCACTGATTTATTTAAGCCTGCATTTCCTAATCTGTAAAAAGTAGATAAGAAACAGCTACCTCCAGGGTTATTGCAGGGTTTCCTTTCTTCAACAAATACTTCCTGAGAACATACTGTGTACTATGCATGCAGCAGTGAATGCAACAGACTCCCTTATCTTGAGAAGTTCTACTCTAATAGGAGGAGCAGACAATTAATAATGATGGTGAAGATGAAGATAATAGCTAATACTATGTGGACATATTATGTAACTGGCATTTTATTTAAATAAGTTCATTTATTTCTCATAACAACTCTCCTGGCTAAATACTATTGGTATCTCAACATTTTTGTTGATTAAACTGAAGATCTGAGAGGTTAAAAAACTTGCTTAAAGTCACAGAAAGTGGCAAAGCCAAATTCAAACCAGGCATTCTGGTTCCATATCAGGTGTGATACCGCTAAAAACTGCAGGTTAGAGGCAAAGATAAGGTCCTCTGTGATCATGTTATGGCTGCTATTAAAATTTCATAAAAGGTTATAGAAAGGCCTCATTGATAAAATGACATCTAAGCTGAGAGCTGAAGGAAATGAATATAGAAGCTATTCAGAATTCCAGGAGAAAATTATTTCAGTCAGATAACATGCAATAAATACAAAGCCTCAGGTTCAAGCATAATTGGTGTGAAGCAAGTGTGCAAGACTGCCAGTTCAAATAGGGCTCTATGGGCCCTTATGAACACTGTCTTTCATTCTGAGTGA